ATGTATATATATATATATATATATATGTGTATATATATATATATATATATATATATACATACATACATGCATGCGTACGTATGAATATATATATACACACACACACACACACACACATATATATATATATGATGATGATGATGATGATGATGATGATATATATATATATATATATATATATATATATGTGTGTGTGTGAGGTCGAAGATAGCGGAAGTCAATAATTAATGTGAATTATTTAGCCTGACATGTTTACTCTTCCAAAATATTATAAATGTTTCTGGAAGCCATGAGTAGATGGCCAGTGGCTTAGCCACCACTGCTGACCCACCAGCTGGAGAGTGTTGTGGTAAGGGTCGAAACACTCAAGGAAGGTTGGGAACCACCTGATGACATCTACTTGTGGCAGAAAGCTGGTTACATAGTACAGTAACCAAAGGAAGCACCAAAGAGGTGTATATTACCATGTCAAAGTAAGATATATTGTGTTCAAAAGGGGGAAAATGATTTTGTTTTTTACCCAGACATTTAAAAAGAATATATTTTAGAGCAGTAATCACAATACTGTGAAACCGTGATTTCTAAAATATTTTTTATGCAAGGTTATCATACCGTCAGAATCTTATACCGGCCCATGCTTACTGCTGATCATATTTTTTGGAATTTCCTTTAAAACAATACTTTTGGATTGAACTTCCTTTGGTTCTTTATCGCAAAATACTCCTGGGATTCTTGTTATCCTTTAAGGATATCCTTTTAGGTTTTTTCCAATAGTCCTGACGATACGAGTAAGGAATATGTCTTTATTAACCTTTTAATTCTTGCAAAATTCCATATACACCACTGTCAATTATTTCAACATATACCTTCTACTGTTTTTGAAAAGGAATTTCAACAGTACATTAGACCTATTGCTTCCTCTATAAATCGTAAAGCTAAGGACTGTTAACTTTTTTTCCTTTTTATTTTTGTTAACACATTATTTTATATTATATGATGTTTGTTTTTTGTTTTTTTTTGGATGTACTTATGTGATGCTTTACTTCTCTGTAAAACTCATGTCCAACCTATGTAACAAATTTTTATGATGCTGTTTTTGTTACACTGAAATTAATAAAAAAAATCTGCAAGCATATATTATTATATATATTACATATACATTTATATTACATATTATTATATATTATATAATAATATATATCACATTACATATTATTATTATTATTATTATTATTATTATTATTATTATTATTTTCATATTACCTTGTCTTTATATGTTTAGAATCATTATTATTTTGCTAAATGTATTTGCTTTATTAAAATAAGACATCATAAAATATAATCAAATCTCTTATTTTTATTCCTATAAATAAATATATCCTGTGAAATATTTATTAATTAAAAAAAAATTTCCCAACTAATAGCTAATGAAGCAAAGACATTTAAAGGCATTTCTGTTAATGTTTTTTCTTCTAGAGAAAAAATCTTATTTGTTTTATTTTGGGTTGAATGAAACCATTTTTTAATTTTTAAAAACTATTTAAAAGTCATTATCATTGGCCATCATGTGCATTTTTTTTCCCGATTGTCTATAGAACAAACCACTGTAACATTAACATTATTATTTTTATTATTATTATTATTATTATTAAAACATCCATTATTTGCTTGTATATAATAAAATATTATATATAATATATATATATATATAAAATATATAAAGCATATATACCATATGCAGATGTCTTTCAGCTTTCCCCAAGGAGTTCTGGAATAGGGTTAATTTCCAAACCATATTTTCCGAGCTGAACTGATTTGAGAAGTCTGGCTTGTAGGCCGATGTGGGATGTGCAGGACTCCCTCAGAGCTCTGAGTCACGGATGCTCAAGCAGCAGGTCCCACTCAAAACACAAAAACCCACACAACAATTTGTACAACCCTAAAAACTTACTCACTATTTCAACTTTCAGTGCATTCCTTGGTTATTCATGACCTTCCATTGGAAACCATTGATTGAATACTGATGCATGGAGTGATATAAACAGCTTGACTTATTCCCTGTACCTCTACTTTTACTCTTTAGGGGAGGGTTAAAGGTGATTTATCCAGATCTGGTTGTTGACAAATGCTTAATCGTCCCTCAGAGGACGAGAGAGAAGATCAGTATGGAGTGGGGATCACCTGAAGTACTCCTGCCACATGCTGAGGAGGTAAGACAAGTTTCCTTCATGACCTCTTGCTGACCTCGTACTCTTTGTTAGCAATTGGCGGTTTAGCCAGTGATTACCCTACTAAATAGGACATGTATGCAAGCTATGTTTTGATGCTGGTTTCAATGCTGGTCTTGCTGGTTCCGATGCTGGTCTTGATGCTGGTTTCGAAACTGATCTTGGTGGTCTCTACTGGATTTGCTGTTCTTAAAATGCTGGTCTCGATGGTCTCAATGCTGGACTTGATTGTTTCAATGCTGGTATTGCTGGTTTTAATACTGGTCTTGATGGTTTCCATGCTGGACTTGATGGTCTCGATATAGAACTTTTGATTGTTTTGAGGCTGGTTTTGATGGTTTCGATGATGAACTTGCTGGTCTTGATGCTGGACTTGCTAGTCTTAATGCCGGCCTTTATGGTCAGGACCTGCATTGAGACCAACAAGTCCAGCATTGAGACCAACACTGAAAACCTGGTCTTGCTGGTCTCTATGCCGATTTTTCTGGTTTCAGTGCTGGTTTGATGCTCATCTCGGTGCTGGTCTTGCTGGTTTCGATGCTGGTCCCTCTGGTTTCAGTGCTGGTCTCATTGCTAGTCGGGACCAGCATTGAGATCAGTAAGTCCAGCATTGAGTTCAGTAAGTACGGCATTTAAAACCAGCAAGACTAGTATTGAATCCAGCAAGTATCAAGACCAGCATCAAAACATACTTTATCAGCATATGCTGTGTTTTTTTTTTTTTTTTTTTTCTCAGCAAGGTAGCAATTCAATTGAAATAGTATATTACACATTGTTGTCGAAATCAGAAAAGTAAAGGTGTTGTGCATATGTGTGGACAGATCCGACCGTACATAAACATAGTTAACTTGTAGTTATACAGTAGTGTCCTTCTAAAATGGTGATGTATATGTGTGTAATGCATATTTATGAAGTGTATTATATGGGCAAACAAGGGTGGGCATCATCGCTTTAAGTCCTCCTAAAGTTGGTAATGGTTCCTCTGCCATTCAGACTGGATAATACAATCTTGGTGACTGGGTGAAATAAAACATATTTTATTCAAAATTCAAAATTGTATTTATATCACAATATATATATAGTAATCAAATGGTTCTTCTCTGCTGCTTTCTTAAAGCTTTGTGAGTTTTCTTGAACTGCCTTCCACATCACATTTTGTCTACCACATGTGTTGCTGTTGTGTTTTGTCTCCAGAAGATGGCGCAAGTGATCTTTGACTAATGCAATGTGCGCTGAAATGAACTTGCGTTACAGAGAGTTTGACACACTCGTGATCAATTTTGAGATCTTTTTAGTTTGCCTTTAGGCTTATGTTACTGAGATATTTATTTTTTTAAAAGTTATCGATTGGTTGTATTGAAGGTTATTGATGCTTTCCATTGTAATTGAACATACACATAAAGAGAGACATACAGACAGATGTAGTCCAAATATAGGAAAAATATGTAATGTTTTACATTTACTCATTTAGCAGATATTTTTTATTGAACCGGTGATAAAAAAAATTAAAAACTTCTTTAGCTTGTTTTTGGTTTGAATAATGATTATTTTGGCAGATTATATTTTTAATAAATTATTTATATAGGATTTTTTTTTCTGGCAGATGCTGTTGTGATTATACATTGTTTTAAGGAAAGTCATTTCATTTTGCATTTATTTTTCTCACTACAAGATGATTTTCAAGCCAAAATGTTTTGTTTAAAGAATTTTTAGATATTTGGGCCTCTAACCTCAAAGTAGGTAAAGCAGTTTTTGGAGTTTTCAAATCACCACAGATCAGCAATATATAGATGCCATGCCAACTAATTTGTTTATTTATTTATTAACCTTTGTAACGGAGTGTTTGTAAGAATGTACTAGGTGCATATAGGGGTCGAAGTGTGTTTCCTACTAGTGGATAATCCAACATGTTAATCAAATATACAATATTGTGAATCCAATAATATTTATTTTTTTATTTTTAAATGAACTCATTATCTTTCGTTCATGTATGCAGTCTCATATTAAAAAAAAAAAAAAACTGTCCCTCACTCATCTTTCCATCAAGCTGCCATTGTTGCCGTCACTTACTGATCCATGATCAGCAAATGTAGCTTGAGTGGATGCTACTTGACAAAAAAATATAGCCACACTACTAAGAAATGAAGTTAAGCTAGTAGCATCACTTGTAGCGACACTACTGATAGTATATTTTGTAATTATTATGAATTTTTGCAAACAACAAACACGTTTTAATATATTCATAACCGCATTCATGTTTTACTGTCATGCTTAAAAAAAAAACGCCAAATTAACAACCGATAAATTTCACACAATCTGTAATCCATAATCATAACTCCTGTATAGCAGTTACATGACATTTTGACACTCAACGACACTTGAATCCCCTGTCGGTAAAGTCTAGTGGCTGTGAATGAGCTTTCTACAGTGTCTGCCATAATCTTAATGCTGTTTCTGTGCGTTTACATTGAGTATGGCCACTGTGTAAATGCACAGTATTACGATCTTATTGCCACATTAGATCGTTATGATGATATAATACATGCCTTCAGGATTTCCTGAAGATAAATACCAAAAAAAAAAAATAGCACAACTGGAATAACTCCAGCAGTTTTGATCGTCTGATCTCATCTGAAGCAAGAGATCACGATGACATATTTGATGACATGTGCAGGTGCTGTTGTGCTGTCCCAATTCTTAGGGGTACATTTTGAAGCCCTTTCCCTTGACCCTCGGTTGTAAGGGCCAAGGGGAAGGGGTAGGTGTACAAAAATGGAATTGGGATTGGGCCTAATTGTACCCAGCCTAAAATGTAAAGTGAGAGAGAGTGAGAGAGAGCCTGATAGCTGTAGAGCCAGAGAAGATAGACCTCAGGAGAGGAGCAGAAGAGGAAAAGAGAGAGCAAAGTTTACCATCCATTTTGTATCTTTCTTGACCATGTGACCCAAATACTGAGACAAACTGACCAATCAACATATGACGACACCGTGAAACCCCCAAAGTCCACACACATCCTTACCAGTCCCTGATTTTATCAGTATCTGCCTTTGTAATCTGAATGGACCTTCTTGGTGAAGGTGTGATAATATGAATGTTCATTCATTCATTTTCTTTTCGGCTTAGTCCCTTTTATTAATCAGGGGTCGCCACAGTGGAATGAACCGCCAACTTATCCAGCATATGTTATACACAGCGGATGCCCTTCCAGCTGCAACCTAGAACTGAGAAACACCCATACACACTCTTGCATTCACACACATACACTACAGCCAATTTAGCCTATTCAGTTCATCTGTGCTGCATGTCTTTGGACTGTGGGGGAAACCAGAGCACCCTGTGGAACAAGCAAACTCTTTACAAAAATGCCAACTGACCCAGCTGGAGCTCGAACCATGCAGCGACCTTGCTGTGAGGCTATCGTGCTACCCACTGTGCCACCGTGATGCCCTATTATGTATGTTTGTTTACTTGAATAAATTTTTTTCTAATAACTTTTATTTTACAATCTAGTTCAATTTAGTAATTAGCTTTTGGAGCTGATTGGTCCCAATATTTTTGTTCTACATTGAGAGTCTAACTTTAAAAACTTCTACTTGAAGCAAGCTCATACTGTAATAAAACTCAAGTCAAGTCGAGCTTTATTGTCATTCCGCTACACGTGGACATGCAGAGGAACAAAATGCAGTGTCTCGCAGGACATCGGTGCTATATGGATTAATTAAATACAAACACAACACTGAAGAGCTATTTAAAACACCTATGCATAACTTGCATATACTATAAAATACTTTAATAACTATACACACAAGACAGGCTATACCAGTACTTTAACATGAAACTGAACAATGTTGTGCAGGATATTTGCAAGAGAGGCATTAGAGGTGAATATTGTGCAAAAAAAGGTATTTAAGGTTGAAGCAAGCAGTGCAAGATGATTGTGGTGCATTTATAGTAATGTTAATATACTGTTGTTGTTGTTGTTGTTATTATTATTTTTATTATTATTATTATTATTATTATTATTATTATTATTATTATTATTATTATTATCATCATCATTATCATTATTATTATTAATGATAGTATTATTAATATTATCATCATCATCATCATCATCATTATTATTATTATTATTATTATTATTATTATTATTATTATTATTATTATTATTATTATTATTATTATTAATAGTATTATTATTTATAGTCTGTTGTTGTTGTTGTTGTTGTTATTATTATTATTATTATTATTATTATTATTATTATTATTATTATCATTAATAGTATTATTATTTATAGTCAGTTGTTGTTGTTGTTGTTATTATCATTATTATTATTATTATTATTATTATTATTATTAATAGTAGTAGTAGTAATAATAATAACAATAATAACAATAATTGACTATAATCTTTAGAAATGAACTTTTTTAAGCAAAAACATGAATCATATATATATATATATATATATATATATATATATATATATATATATATATATATATATATATATATATATGGATATGGATAGAGGGAGAGAGAGAGAGAGAGAGAGAGAGCGAGTGTATGTGAGTATTTTTCATTTTACAATTGGGTCCAACTTAGTACTACAGTACTCTAATCAAGGCGACAGCTTTAGAGTAAGAGATGCCCTCAGTATTGCTGAAGCGCCGATAGACAGCTGCCATCTCAGACAAACTTCGCTAGATTAGTTGTGTTTGAGTTTTAGCGCAGCGACGCTCCAGGACTCATTCTGCTGGAAACTTGAAATCGAATCAACGGCAGCAAAGAAAAGCAGCCAGGTACCACGCCGCGTCTGTAAATTGGAAAGCAAAATTGAAAGCCGCTTCAATTTTAGGAGCTAGTTTATAAATTCCATAGCTAAGCAGTCTGGCTGGAAGATGATCTATCGCCCTCACGTCTCCCAAACCCCAATTGATGTATGGTCGTATTATCTATTATGCTGTCCTACATGATTCTCTTT